GATTGCCTTAGGTAAGATGGACATCTTCACAATGTTGATTCTTCCGATCCATGAGCATGGGGTATTTTTCCACGTGTTCGTGTCAGTTTTGATTTCTTTGAGCAGTGTTTTTAATTTTCATTGTAAAGGTCTTTCACATCTCTGGTTAGAAAGATGCCAAGGTATTTAATTTTTTTTTGTGGCTATTGTGAATGGAATTGTGTTTTTTATTTGGGTTTCTGTTTATTATTGGTGTAGAGAAATGCAATTGTCTTTTGTACATTTATTTTGTATCCTGAGACTTTGCCAAAGGCCTTTATTAATGTAAGGAGGCTTTTGACAGATTCTCTTGGGTTTTCAAGATACACAATCGTATCATCTGCATAGAGAGATAACTTGACTTCCTCTTTTCCTATTTGAATACCTCTAATTGCCTCCTCTTCTCTGATTGCTCTAGCCAGGACTTCCAATACTATGTTGAACAGGGGGGATGAGAGTGGGCATCCTTGTCTAGTTCCAGTTTTCAGGGGAATTGGTTCCAATTTTTGTCTATTTAGGAGTATGCTGGCTGTGGGTTTCTTGTAGATGGCTTTTACTATTTTGAGGTATGTTCCCCATATGCCAAGATATTCAAGAGTTTTTATCAAGAAGGGGTGCTGGATTTTATCAAAAGCTTTTTCTGCATCCAATGATATGATCATGTGATTTTTGTTTTGACATCTGTTGATGTATTTAATTACATTTATGGGTTTTACGAATGTTGAACCAGCCTTGCATCCCAGGAATGAAGCCTACTTGGTCATGGTAGATGGTTTTTGAGATGTATTGCTGAATCCGGTTTGCTAAGATCTTGTTGAGAATTTTAGCATCTATGTTCATCAAAGATATTGGCCTGTATTTCTCTTTCTTTGTTGGATTTTTACCTGGCTTGGGTATCAATGTGATGTTGGCTTCGTAAAATGATTTGGGGAGAGTTCCATCTTTTTCAATCGCCTGGAATACCTTCAGTAGGATTGTTATCAGCTCCTCCTTGAATGTCTTGTAGAATTCTGCTGGAAAGCCATCTGAACCCGGGCTTTTTTTTGTAGGAAGTTTTCTTATTACATAGTCGATTTCCTTGATTGTTATTGGTCTATTTAGGGTCTCAATTTCTTCTTGTTCCAACCTAGGTAGGTTGTGTGATGTCAGAAAGTCCTCCATTTCCTTAAGGTTTTCAAGTTTGTTTCCATACAAGTGTACGTAGTAGTCTCTA